CAGCCCTCCACATCAGCAACCACCTCATATCCACAATCGGGTCATTAAACCCGTCAAACTCCGGGGGCTTCGTGTTGCTGAAGTCCCAAAACTGAAATGATCATCTCCCATGAACCCCCATAGCAACAATAGCTACAGTAGCTATAGCAGCAGCGGCCTCAGCCACAGTGACGTATCGCTCATCAAACAACTCAATCATCACGGTCTTGATAGACCCAAAAACCTTGAGGATAGCACCCTGGCCAGCAACAACCACCTCGGTAGCGATCAACTCAACGATGTCATCATCTGTCAATCCTGGCCTATCTTGGCCACCCGCTCTGGAACCAGATCCTCTCGTGAACACCATATTGAAAATGAATCAAAATATATCAGCAATGCCATAATTCATATTAGTACAACCATCACAGAGAGAATAAACCCTCAGGGTTTCAGACTTCATTGTTACGCGTACAGGTGATGTGTTTTCAGTAGTACGGGCCCACACTACCTTCGACACCTACCCATATTTGTCTCAATGGATCATCAAAAACTACTCGAAATCAAACTCAACAACTAGGATATGCATACTGTTAGATTTGGTGTCTAATCACATAACTATAATTGGTATGTACTTGATTTGATAATAGCATGGTCCTTTTGGGTTGCCTTCACTCATGCAAATTGACAGGATGACTAATGGAGAGAGAGTAGAAATATTATTTGAAATAATAAATTGGTACTAAAAATGATTTTATTAATATATTTTAAGATTAATATATTATTTGGAAATCATATTATTAATTAGTGATTAATTAGAAATTAATCTGAGATTAATTTTGAGATTAAAGGAACTGATTAATAGTGGAGGGGTTGTTTTGCAAATCATTGATAGTTGTGAAAATGGGCTGATGGACTCCTTAATTAGGAGTGGACGAAATCCTATAAGGAGGCCTTATAGATTTTGTCCAAGGCTTGCCAAATAAGATTCCATGGGCTGCTTAAGCCTTAAGTAGGAATTAGGGTTTACTCCAGAAACCCTAGCAACCCACAGTTATATAAAGAGCCCCACCACATGGAATTTTCGGCCAATGCATATGATACATAACCCTAGCCAATTTTCCTTGTCACTCCTCTCATCTTGTTGCATTAGGTGTTTGTGAACCATTAGAGATGCAACATTTAGGGCACTAAGCTTTCAAGAGTCAAGGATCTTCAAGGTTGTACTTGTTATTACAACATAACAAGTAAGGTAATCTTCAAACAATAATTTCTTTGTGAATTTCGAAATTGTATGCTAGATTAGGGTTATTACTTTGGTATTCAATTTGCATGTTCAATTAGTGAAAAACTTAGATCCAAAGCAATTAGGGTTGCATGATCACATAGGAATGTAGATATGCTCATAACCTAACAGTGGTATCAGAGCTAGGATGTTTTTCAATTGAATTGATGCAATATTGAATTGTCCAAAGTAGCAGAAAATCATTTTTTATTGTCAGACTTTGGAACTCAACGAGTTCATGTATGAACTCGACGAGTTGGATAAACTCGATGAGTTTAGTGGCCAACTCGACGAGTTGACTCGTTGGTTTACTAATTTTTCGATTTTCAGATCTTGTTTTGATTAGGATAATTGCCTTATTTCATTTTTACTGCCTAAAACCGAAGTTTTTGAATGGTAATATGATATCATTATCATGATTAAAGGATTTGGTTAAATTTGGATAATAATAAGATTATTTTTGTTTAAAATTTAACCTAGTATTTTGAAATGTTTTAAAATACACCCTTTTGGTTTTATAATTTAAATTTGAAATTAAAAGTTTATTTTGGAAATTTAAATGGAAAAACCTAGAAGATATCTGTATGGACTTTATTATTAATTTAATTAAAAGATTAATTAAAAGACAATTAATAAATCCATAAAAGGTTTAGATTTAATTAAATTAAAAGTTTAATTTATTAAAAGATTAAACCTTAGTATTTTAAAAGTTTAAAACACATCCTTATACTATATAAAATTAAAAGTTTAATATATATATATATATATATATATATATATATATATATATATATATATATATATAAGAAAAGTCACTCTTACTATTAGTAGGTCTCATTCACGAAGCTGGTCTATAAGGGTATCCATTCTTACCCACCGCACTCTTGAATAGTGGAGGGTCGTTAGCCGAACAGATTTGATAGGACACTCAATCCTCATTAAAAGTATAATGAATTACAAAGTAACTAAACGCTTTTATTAAATTCCCAATCTTAGTTACTTCAGGAAAAATGTGAATTTGATGCTAACCCATGAAATTGCACATTGCACCTTATTGGTCGTTAGTGGAGCGTGTATGGTTAACCGGCACACTAATATGGGACTAATATTGTTGGCAATGGTTTCTCGTAAATTATCGTTGATCAATGGAGCGTGTGAGGTTTACCGATACATTGATTAGGTGATAAATGACATCGATAGTACCAAGATAATTTGCATGGTTATTCACATCTCGTTTGTGATCCTCGGTATCGCAGTCACAGATTGAGAGCATAATCAACATTAAACATGACATTGAAAAGTTCAAAGAATATCAAAAGATCTAGGAATTTCATCTAAAACCTAATTCATTTAAAATTTCATTTTCGTGGTGGAATTGGTAAATCGTCATTTACCTATCTTCAAATAATTTGGAATTAGATTATGACATCCCTCTTGTGAATTGTAAATTAATGTGTTGGGTCCTAGCCTTAATATTTTATTTGGGTGTCATATTAAGGATCTAAATCAACTAACTTGAATTATCTCCCTTTTGTAGATATCTAGTTTTAACAACTATGGTCTTCCTCATCCTTTTGGAAAAAGCTTTCTGTCTGAAGATGATCTTCCACGTTTCGATCAAGGTGAAAGATCATTTCCTTCTTCGTGCATTAGTGGAACTGGAAATCATACTTCTCTTCCTCCACCACCTTTCAGTTACTCTCCCTGACCCACGTTTTCGTCGACTTGAAAAGTTCAAGATCACTCAAGCCCTGTTGGCATGCAAACACCAAGATGGAAATTCTGTGTGTGCACACGTCCTGAAGATGAAGTCGCACATTGAAAGACTGGGAATGTTGGGTGTCGTTTTCCCAAGGAAGCTAGCTGTTAACTTGGTTCTTCAATCACTTCCTCAGTCATATAGTCAGTTCCTTAAGGACCACTACATGACTGATCACGATTTGACCCTAATTGATCTGACATATTTGCTAATTATTGCTGAAGCAGCAATGATTTGGCTCACTGGTCAAGAAATTTGTTTGGAGGATCAGTTTCCTAAAGTTCCATGGAAGTTGGTAATGGCAACGGTGATAGTCCAGAAACTTTTTCTTCTCCTAAGAGAGAGAAATCGGCCAAGGTCAAAAAGTTTGACCGTAAAAGAAAGGCAAATTTTGAGATTGTTTCACGTGTCACTCCTGAAGAGTCCATCTGTCACTATTGCCGATTGAAGGGGCATTGGAAGCGAAGCTGTCGTGACTACCTGAGAGATCTTAAAGTCAAATTTTATGACTCTACTTCAGGTACATCCACTATCTAACTCTGTTAAGTTCCTATTTATAGATTCCTATTACACGATGTGGTAATCACATTTTGACGTTTTGTAGGATCGAATAAAATTAAGGAAGCTTAAGAGGAAGTAAAGGCTGATTCTGATCTGAAGAAATGGATTTCGGTCGCATGGTTCGACGATCAGAATTTTGAGCTACTACTTAGGAGTTAGGATAGATTAATTGGAATATATTGAAACATAGTTTTCATATGTATTTCATTGTAAGTAAAAGTTTTTCCGCACATTATCAATAAAGTAAATTTCGGTTTTATCTTATTTGCTTTTCGATTACTTGCAATGGCATTTATGAAAATTGGTTTTTATATTTCTATTATTAACAATGTTGAAAATGGATTTGATTCTTAGTTATATACATTGTGGTAGTGTCATGATTTACCAAGTGAGGAAGGATTCTCATCACCCAAGTTTCAATTGGACAGAAGCTTGGAATCTTACAATTCAAATTGTGTGATGTATGAGAATCTTGATCGACACTACAAATAAAATGACATTTAGTGGCATAGAAAAAATGCCACTAAAAACCAAAAAAAGTGCCACTAAAAGCCCCCTAGACAATCAGCGGCACAAAAAAATAGTGCCACTAAAAGCGTTGCCATTAAAGGTCTTTAGTGGCACTTTATTGTTGTGTCGCTGCAGCTTAATTGGGTTTTGGTGGCACTTTTCGATTATACCACTAAAACACATGTAGGTTTTAGTGACACTATTTAACTGTTAAAACAAATATTGTTTTCATACTTTTAGTGGCACTTTTTAGCATGGAAAATTTATATTAATAATTAGGACCAATTTTTATTTTAATTTTATATGAAATATAAAATAATATAAAGAAAAATAACATAATAAATGGATAAACAATATAACTACTTAAAATAAAAGTTTACTTGTCTAACAACATTGAATCCCTATATCACTTATAATACGATCAATATAACCATACTCTATTACATCTAGCTTGAATCTTCCAATATACTCAAGTTTATTCCAATACTATTCATATACACCCAAGTATGGTAAGCCTACAAAGCCTTCATCTGGTCCAAGCCGCGACTGAATTTAACAAACACCATGTCACTCAACCTAGATTATGCCAATCTATTTCATTTCTTCGCGTGAAGCTACAACAAGAAAGAGAATAAAACAAAGTAAGCTTTGTAAAAACATGGAATTTTAAGAATAATATCTAAAAAATAGTTTTTTAGCTGAAAGTAACATATTTTCAGTGAGAAAAATATATTTCTAACTATAAAAAAACTAAATTTCCAGCAATAATAAAAACATATATTTAAATAAAAAAACAGAATTTTATTAAAAAAAGATAAAAAGATAAAACTTACATGTTGAAAGACACTCTAGTTTTCTCTCGCAACTTGTGCTCCATATTTACCAGCTGGGTCAACTGCCTCATTCTTACAGGAAGTCATGAACTCAAGATTCATGAACAGTATAAACAAAACAAGTAAACATTAAACAACATTACTAATACAAGTAGAATAAAGCCATAAACAACAAACAACATTAACAAAATATTAACTAGCAATATAAACAAGTAAAATAAAAAACAGAGTAAGTTATAAGCAACATTAAAAAAACATTTACAGTTAACAGGTGGTCAAGATCAGGGGGAGGGGTAAACATCTATAACCTGAGTGATCTATTTAGTTTTAAATCAGGTACCACCTAAACTATCATATCCGGCTACAAAATTTTTGTACAAATATTAGGGGTAGTTTTGTAATTTTAACATGAAAATATACCTGGCACACTTGTGATAATTTCCTTAAGATATATATCAACAATCATAACCAAACATAAAAGCTTCCCCGCCCTAGCACCACATGTAAGATACCTACAACAAACCCCCAATAAAAAATAACACTTCAATGGCTAAAAAGAAAAACTTACACGAAGATGCATCTCTTGTAGATGATACACAATCTCTGTTCTTTTGGCAACAACAATTGCAATTGAGAAAAAAATTGTGTAGTAATTAAAGACTATGACTACCAAATATAAGAGGATTTTAAAAAAATGTGTGGTTGATGATTTGGACATAACTCACTGATGAGTAAGTGTAGACAAAAAAAAAACAATATTTTTTTGTGTATCATTTGAAACTGACTAATATTGTTAACAACGATTTAGAGAATAAGGCAGAACCTGAGATTCATGTGAGGTTGAGGGTATGTCCACTTATCACAATTGTTCTTTACTTTACCCCATATGTACAACTGCGCACTACACCTGAATCACAAAAGAGTCACTCAAACTAAAAATGAAAAAGAATTTATATGCATGACAAAATGACCATATTACCATTTTGTATTGGATTTGTAAAACCATTATTTTTCAGCAATTTTGACTTCTTAGTATCTATATTGTTCATAAGATAAAGGGATTGAATTTTTATAATTTAGATTCATGAATCTAGTAGCTATTGAGTACCATTTTATCTATTGCAATCGGTTCATCATCTTCACCTTCTTATAGATTAAGATATAAACTTTAACTTCCACTTTTTATCTCGGACATTTAATCAAACAGGTCGAGTGCATCAGAAAAATCATCTTTATTTTGAATATCTTCGTAAATTACATGTATCCGGCCCAATCAATTAATCAATCACATGACCAAATATGATCATACCTTTGAATATGGCTATGTGGACGAACTGAGATCAGATGGATGAAGCTACAACCATATAACATAGTGGTTCCCGGTGTATCCCGGCTCCTGCTATTGCTTCGTCTAAGGTGACTGACGTTGGAGGCGACATCCACGACGAGGGCCCGACGGTGAGTGGTCAACGGAAAGGGCTGACAGTGAGTTGACGATGCTGATGGCGGAGACGAACAGGGTGAGCGAAGATGAACGAAGTGAGGGATATCTATTATTTTTGTGGCTTGTACCCTCGTTGCCCTAAACATTTTGCTATAATTTAAAAAGGTTTATGGAATTTTCGGGGAGCCGCGTCTTTTTGACCTCTTTAAAATTTTTAGGCGTAAAAGTGGGGAAAGATAGAGGGAACCAAAAATCGATTAGTTAAAACATATAGTGTCATAAAAAGTATGTGCCACTAAAGCCCATATTATAGTGACACAAAAATCTTTTGCCACTAAACAATTGTGCCACTAAATGTAATTTTATTTGTAGTGATCCTTGGTAAATTGAGACTAATTCCTTGTTCATATGTATATGTGAGTCAAGTGAAGGACTAAAGGATCTAATACACATTGATGTGGACTGGTCAGATCCACCACAAAGGACGATAAGCCCATTCGTCATGATTTTCTGTTTGTTCAGTAAATATGTTATGCTTATAAGATTAAGTATAATTTTGATACCTTGAAAAGTTTCAAAGTGTAGCAGAACGAATAAGAAGAATCCATTAGGCAGAAAAATAAAAGTTTCTCCAATCTGAAAGGAAAGGAGAGTAGTTTAGTATCATGTTCTATGATCATCCTAATGATTATGAAAACATGTCACAATTGATCCTCTAAGAACACCTTAGTGCATTTACATGACTGAGAAGAGGAATCATACATTGTTGAAATGGTTAAGTCAATAAGATGAGTCATACTTCGTTCCAAAATCAAGTTTTAGAATTATACTCTAGTTAATCCAAGTTGTACCTTGAGTAACATGTTCTAAGTGGGTTTAGAACATCTCATGAAATGTGGAGTGGAAATGTTTTCTTGTTCTAGCACATTTGAAATTAGTAGTTGTGATGTTTTGGTTAAAATAAAGACCAACTAAGACCAATTATATGAAGTGTTTTCTTGATAAGAACTCACACTAACTTTTGAATATTTGTTTGTCGAGGAGTGATCATTGACAGAAAATCTTATATGTCAAGAGGTCAGTGGGAGTCTTAATAGTCTTCAATAGTTTCAGGAACTAATCAAGAATAAACCTTTTAGTAATCACTAGCACAAGACCTAAGGTTTATGACCTATCGTGTTGACACATTCTTTTTTTTGTGTCCATTCCAGGTGAGTTGGCAATGCTTATGAGTTCTACGGTTTTCATTTGACTACATAAAGCAAAGCACCTTGATTAGTGAAAGTGCATTGATCTATATGAGTGAGCTGCTCAATAACTTCGAAGCACTAGTAGGCCCTTGTGCTACTGGATGACAAGAAATTAATATTAAGCAAGTTCAGTCCATATGAGTTTGAATTTGTCATAAACCTTGTCTTATGATAATGGTTGGAAATGACAAATTAACATGGATAGGAACACATACACCACAAAATCTAAGTGGTAAGTGGTTTCTCTCTACTTCATGAAAATGATTTTGAGGAAATGGTTTCACTAATAGATTTTAAAGGATTGATTAATATCATTAGAGTTAGCAGTTGTGATAATTGCGTTCTCAAATTCAAGTATGATTACGGCATCCCTTTTCATAGTTCGAATTGTGAGAAATGGCAAATAGTTTGAACATTCGGGACTTATTGCTATAAGTTCTGAAAGGGTTTATATACACACACAAGTTTTCTAATGAAAGGGTGTATGAGCTTGAGAATTCTAATGAAAGGTGCCAGAGCGGTTTTGGCCATGCTAATGAACCTAACATTGCTACTCCTATTTCCTCCTAACATTTTACACTTGTTAATCCCGACACAGGAAGGGTATGTTGTGTTTTATTTTGACTAATAGATAAGGAGTCTTACTTAGAGGTAATCATATTGTGTTAGTTGTATTTATTTATGTTAATATATTTTTTGTTGTATTTATAGTATATTGATGTATGTATTTGTGAGTGTGACCCATGTATTCTATCCCTCCTAGCTTATCCATTTTTTGATTGTATTGTGTGTCTATATTTGTTGACATGTATTCTACATTGATATCGGAAAATACTTAGCTTAATATGGTATCAGGCCTTTGAACCCTAATAGTTGTATCTTTCTATTTCTTGCTGATCTCCCTGTATGGCTTCTCAATTCTCGGTTCTCCTTCTTCCTTCTCCATTGCTCTCATCCTACTTCTTCATGTGATAATATGTGTGGAATTACTAATATTAACTCTTATGTTCCTTTAGTCTTGGATTTAGATCGACTTAGTTATGATTCATGACAGGAGCATTTCCAGACCCACTATATTGGCTACTCCTCTTTTTTACCATCTTAAGGAATCTTCCATCACACCCGACGATATCCAATGGTGTAAATTCGACTGTATCTTCAAAAAATGGTTGTACTTGACTCTTATTTAATCCCTCTCCAATCTATCTTGAAGAATGATCAAACTGCTAATGATGTTTGTGAAGGGTTTTGAGCAATTCTAACACTCCTAAGTGTACATGCAACCCTAGAAAACCTTGGATCTATGTTTGTCTAAAATTCATGCAAAATACTTTTTCCAAGGTTCATAAACCTATCTAGCATACATGGGGAACTTTATAATATAAAAGATAGCTAGAAATACATACCTTGTAGTTGTTATGATTCCTTGAAACCTTGAGAGCCTAGCACCCCAAGTGTGATGCCTCAAATGCTTCACACAACACCAAATGCTTTTGGAGTAAACTTAAGAGAAGTGTAACACTTGCAAAAATCGGCCAAGCCCTCTTGTAACTATGTGTAGCCGATTTTAGTGGAGAACATGTTGCTTATATAGTGTGTCACATCTAGGGTTACACCATGTAAACCCTAATGTGGCATGACTCTTCATTTCCATGACCCATGGGTTTGTAACTCCCATGGAGCCTCCATGGAGCATCCAATGGGTTTAACCCAACTTGATTATCCATGGAGCCTTTTAGCCCACTATACAAGTTATGAATGATTTACATAATCAACCCATATATTTAATTAGCCATCATTTGATCACTTAATTAATCCTAGATTAATTCTTGATCAATACTAATTAAATAATACTATTAATATATTAGAACTTATAATATATTAATAAACCACAAGTGTTATTTCTCTCATTTAGTCTATCCAAATGCATGATGCCATGCAACCCAAATGGACCATGTCGGGTCGGGTCAAGTACATACCAGAAATAGTTATGGACTTAGACACCTTATCCAACAGTCTCCCACTTGGATAAGTCTAATAACTATAACTGCAAGTATGACTTCAGGAACCGATCAGCAATCGTAGCTCTTTTCAAGGTTTCTCGAAACTGAGAAGATGATGATACGCCATTTCAGATAAGTGATCATATAATCCTCTGTTCTAGATATCAGCCGGACAAATACATGGAACAGTGTCTTACTTTGTGTCCAGCAGTTTGTTTCCCGATTTCCGATTTGTTTGACATAGAACTCAATTGAACACATCAACTAAGTTCTGACCGGGCCCGATACATGGGTCAAAACAAAATCATCGAGGGGCCCAGATATCGCTTCTAATCCAAGAAGGAACAGATAAACTTCGACTCATATGCTTGTTCTACTACTTGTTAAATCACACACAAACGCACGTTTTATAACATCGAGTTACCAATGCGTTTTCGCACGATCAATGCATAACTAACTCATAGTCAACAAGTCATATCTCTAGGTTTGAAGACTTATATGATATTACCGTCTCGCGATCACTCGAGATAAATTCCATGAAGTGATACCAGCGAGCGTGGGTTGAATCCAATACTCAGAACTTATGAGCACTCATGAGTGTTGAGGCCATGTCCAACATCTTAGACCTCTACAACCAACCCATGACAGTCTTACTTCATATCTACTTCCAACATATGACTGACTGTGGATAATTTGAATAATATGTAAACACAACATAAATATTCTGGAAGTCAAAACATGCAAAAGAAATAATAGTAAACGATTGACAAAAGATAGCAACACTTTACTCATAAATAAACACAACTTTTATTTATCATCAAATGTCAATTACACTTTACATATTTCAAAATTATCTAACTACTAAAACTAATATCATCCTTCAGCCCTATGCTCCTTGCATGCTGGAGATGCTTAACCCTACCCAGTCCCTTCGTGAGGGGATCTGTCGGGTTCTCATCCGATGATACCCTCTTTGCCACGAGGAGTCCTTCTTCTATACGATGTCTAATGAAATGGTATTTTCTGTCAATGTGTCTGGATCTCCCGTGATCCCTTGGTTCCTTTGCTAAGGCAACAACACTTTCACGATCACAGAAGATTTCTATAGGCTCTTTAATAGCTGGTACAACTCCAAGATCTCCAATGAAGTTCTTTAGCCATATCGCCTCCTTTGCTGCCTCGCTTGTCGCTATATACTCTGATTCGCAAGTTGAATCAGCCACTGTCTCCTGCTTGGAACTTTTCCAAGAGATAGCTCCTCCATTTAAGGTAAAGACCCAGCCCGACTGAGAGCGGAAATTATCCCTATCAGTCTGGAAGCTAGCATCACTATACCCTACAACTCTCAAGTCATCACTCCCACCAAGGGTAAGGACCCAGTCCTTAGTCCTTCGCAGATACTTGAGAATATTCTTTACCGCTGTCCAGTGAGCCTTACCAGGGTTCCCCTGATACCTGCTAACCATGCTTAAAGCAAAGGCTACATCAGGACGAGTGCAGGTCATAGCATACATGATCGAGCCTACTGCAAAAGCATAAGGTACTCGACTCATTTCTACTATCTCAACCTCGGTACTCGGGCTCCGAGTCTTACTCAGTCTAGCGTTACTCTGGATGGGTAACTCTCCTTTCTTGGAATCTTGCATGTTGAACCTCTTCAGCACCTTATCCAAGTATGTACTCTGGCTAAGCCCAATTAGTCTTTTACTCCGATCTCTCAGAATCCTTATCCCTAGAATATAGGCAGCTTCTCCTAGGTCTTTCATAGCGAAACACTTCCCGAGCCAGGACTTCACCTCCTGCAAGGCCGGGATGTCATTTCCGATGAGTAGTATGTCATCCACATACAGTACCAAAAAGCTAACTATACTCCCACTAGCCTTGACATATACA